AGTCCCCCATCAATGAAAAAGACTGCCTTCAAAGCTTTGGAGGTGAGCTTGTTCTGATCCTAGAATTATCCCCTTTACTAGCACATACCAAACTCCCACCCCACAGTCCCTTAGCTGTGCCTTCAATTTGTGGTTCTGTAAATAAAGTGTCCCCTGGTGATATGTGAATCTATCCACTAAATCCTCTCTAAATACAGAGGACTTGGCCCTTTACAGGGGCTTTGGGCCAGGGGTGTGGCTCTTCTCACAGTCTGAGGTGCTCAGTCAGCTGGCCTCCCAAATCCTACCCTTGGTTCTGGTGGTATGCAATTCCCAGTGTTAGGTGAGAAGGGGTGATTATGGACAGGGAGACACAAAGCCTCCTATACTATACCAGTCCCAGAGACGCAGAGCCCCAGATGATGGCCCAGGGCCATACATGCCATTACTGCCTGAGCCTTTGGCACCACTGATACTTTAGTCCCCATGCAGTACATTTCACTCCTCTTTGGAAGCACTGATCACAATCATAACTCCACTATTATCTGTTAAAATCATTCATGTAAGGTCTGTTTCCACACTAGACCGTGAGCTCCATGAGGAGAGGAACCATGTCTGCTGATTCACCACAAAACCATAGTTCCTTTCAAAGTGCCCAGCTCACAGATGTTGAACGAGCTGACTATACAGAGGAAATAACATTCATCGACAATAATTATATCCAAAATACTTTGCAGTACAACACTTGTACGCTTACTGTATCACCTGATCCTCTAACAAACTGGAGGGTAAAGGTCTTCATGTGCTGGAGCTGGCTTGTGCCAGCTTGCTAGAGCTAACTGTTAAACATTCTTGACTTTTTGCAAGCCAGTTGTTAAACCATTAGTAACGTGATTGAAAATGGTGGGGATATTTATATCCTGGAGATCAACAAAGACTATAAATAAGAGGTTTTCTTTTACAAAGAGCAGGTTTATCATCAAAGCACTGGTAGTAGGTGTGTTAAAAAATATTCTGTAAATGAATAGATGGGCATAACTTTAAATATGGTGCCTCTGAGTTTCAGGAAGATGAAGTGAGACTTTCAAGGTCTCTGACCCTTGCTATAGTGAGATGCTGGCTTCATGCATTTACTCATTTCAGCAGGCATTTTTGAAGTTCCAATAGTGTGTCAGGAACTTCCTGCCATGGCAAAATGTGATGGGGAAATTAGTAGTTAAGACCAAGGAGCTCCTCAAGAGAGATCCTCTCAACTGGCAGTGCTGTTGCCTACCTCAGGAGGTGGGGCCCTGCTCAGACCCCAGAAACATGACTGGATCAGGACCTGATACATCAGGTGGGGTCTGAGAGGGGTCCTGCTGTCACAGACCTAGCCATTCAGTGTGTACAGATGGCCCACGGTGTTTACCCTCTGTCCAGGGCTCCTTCCACAGAACCTGCAGATCTCTGCCCAAAGCAGCCTCACTGAGTTCCCAAGGGAACTGCAGTCAAATCTAAACCTCAGCTCACCACCAGAGCCCCCTCTGACAGGGCTAGTTCCTGCCCTCCTTGCACACCCTTAAAAGCTACTGGGATTATACCATGAATAAAGAATAGTCAGAGGCTCCAATGGAAACCACATGGACACTACCCCTAACAGTATGGGTCCTGCTATGGGTTGAACTATGTGTCCATCTCCCAATTCATATGTTGAAATCCCAACCCCCAGTGTCTCCGAATGTAACATCTACAAACCCTATATTCAGAATGTCTCAGAATATAGGGTTTGTGGATGTAATTAGTTAACTTAGGATGAGATTAAACTAGAGTAGGGTGGGCTCCTAACCTAATCATACCAGTCCCTATAAAAAAGGGGAAACCTGGACACAAGATGCCCACAGGGAGAACGCCATGAAAGATGAAAAACCAAGGAATATCAAAGATTGCCAGCAGCTAGGGGAGAGGCATGGATCAGATCCTTCCCTCATAGCCCTCAAAGGAACCAGCCCTACTGATAACCTTGACCTCAGGCTTCTAGCCTCCAGAACTGTGAGAAAAGAAATTTTGTTAAGTCACTCAGCTGGTGGTACAGCAGCCACAGAAAACTAACCCAGGTCCCTTGCTTTGCAACCCTCTAAACTGGGCAGTACTACATTAGAGTTTGGGTGACTAATAGGGATGTTAAAGACAGGCAAGAGTTAGAGCCCCATGCTGGAGCCAGGTGTGGAATCTAGCAGAAGAGGGGCTGCGCTTGGGGTCAGGGCAGAACGACCCTGCCTGAGTGCTGGGGACTGTTACATTTTGCCTATGAACCCTCCAGTTCTGCGGGACTCACACAGTTGGCTATAGACACCATCTGGAATCACCAGGGTCAGGGACAGAATACCAGCCAGCTGCTTCATCACCAGAGCAGTGGCCTCAAGTTTGCACATGTGATCACACTCCAGAGGCTGGATGCTCACTGGCAGCCCCTCAAGGAAGGTGCCATGATGACAGGGACATGGAAGCGTGTGGAGGGAGCTGGGTGGCCAGTGGAATATGCTACTGGCACTTCATCTACCTCCGACGCCTGCAGGATTCCCAGTATCTTATTTTCCTCTGTTAAAAGGAAAAGTGTTTTTGGCAAAACCACAAAATGGGAAATTTGATTCAGGAAAGAGATGGGTCAAATATGGCTTCCTGGCCTTAGATCCTTGATACAGAGTCCTCATGAGCAGTGCACTGATTTAGAGAGGGTTTGCCTTTAATCGACCCTGGATGTTCCCAGGCTAATTCAAGGCACAGAGACGACACTAACCAAATACAGGTCTCCTTTTCTTTGCTTTTTCTTGGCTTTTTTTCAACAAGTAATCTCGTATCTGAGGTAGTGCTGAGAGGGTTAACTCCCTGGACTCCACGAGACTGGCATTGTCCAGCTCTCGGTCCAATTCCAGGTACTCCTAGTTTTGTCTCTCTGGGCTGAAGTGACGGCCCTTGTGGACCTGGAAAGTGAGGGTGTCAATCCTTGGAATTTACTTCTGACTCTTTCCTGCCTGGCTAGCACCTGGCCAGCTAGCTGGGCATTCACCTTGTTCCCATCCTTCCATACATCCATATGCTATATGAGCACACACTCCACTCAGGAAGACTGTGTCCTAAAGGTCAAACAGGAGGAGAAATCCTTATGCTATGAAGAGGTACAAGCTTTCTGCTCTAGCTCTTTAAAGACCACTGCAATTCTCCTGCAGAGGAGCAATGCAGCTCTGGAGAAGTATGGCATTGTGGGCCTCAATGTCTATGATGACAGTAGATCCTGAAATCGCCAGGGGAGTAGAGTTTTAATTATTCTCTCGCAAAGTCCCCATATGTACCTATTGCCCATCCATCCACATGTTCCTGATTCTCAGTTTAGAAAATAAGATCTAACCAACTACCCTTTGAGGGGGAGCTTATGTCCCAGAGGGTGTCTCTAGAATCTCACAAGCCCATGGATGGCAGAGCAATTGCTTCAATCCCTCCCTTGTCTAGAGGTCAAAAGCTGGAGGGGAGCCACAGAGCACCATCACAGTAGGTGAGAAAGGTCTCCCCCTAAGTTTCCTTCCCTCTACTGGCTGCTCTTTTAAGCTGGACACAGCAAACGCTCAGCTGTCCTGCTTGCAGTCTGGAGCTCTAGTGCTCTCTTATTGATGATGTTCTTCCTTCTGGATTATCTGTTTCCTTCAGTGGGAAAGTCTGCCAAGGCCTGTGATTTGTGCCACTTTTGTTTGCAGGCCATCAATTCCCCTTGCCTCACAAAGAGTATTTTATCTCTTTCTGTCCAGTAGCCTGAGTTCCTGAGAGCGAACAAGTGAGGGATACGCCAGCCTCTCATGACTTACGTGGAATCAAAGTGAGTTCTTACCACGGTGAGTCCTTAATGCTTCCATCTTCTCCCTCCTGTATCATCTTCCCTCTTCTGCCTACACACTGAGCTGGCTTTTTTTCAAAGTACTGGAAGTCACGAGTGATAGGTCTTCATGTATATTTTGTCAAATAACCATAGATATTCTCCTCCTTCTCTCTCTCCCCACCCCTCAGCTCTTCCTCTTCCCCTATACACATGTGTACTTTCCTCTGAATGAGTGTGCATGCGTGTATATAGTCACATATGTATAGACGCACTTGGGTCATTGTCGTTGCTCATGGTTTATGCCTGTGATTATATGTGTACTTATATTTGTAATTGTCATCTCTGAGGAAGCATCCTATGTAACGATATGGGCTGTTGATAAATGCAGGGAACAACAATTTTCCAATTTTGGTGTGTTTATATGGAGAGAATGGCTGTTAAAAATATCCATTCTATAACAAAAAGATAAACCTGATTTCTAGCCATTCAACCTTGTAATAGGTTAAATGATAACAAACCATTCATTGATTTTCTTTTTTTAAAAAGAGTAATAAACAGAAACATGTACAATTGAAAGGGCCAGGCAATTCAATTATAATTAGGAAAACAAAAAGTGATGAGCCTGAACAATGCTGCCTTGGTTTTGGGGATAAGTATTGAAAATGCCAACTACATAACAATGCACTGTTTGTTTTCTCATTATTAAAGGCACAGACACTATCACCTCATTTGTGAAAGCCAAACCCAGTTGAAAGAAATACAAAGCTCAGAAGATTGGTTTGATAGACATACTTAAAAAATACCCACATAAACACAGACCCAAATATAATGAAAATATATAGCAGAAGAATATTTGAGTAAATTTATATTCACCACTCTACCGATTAATGTACCAGTCCATTCATCCATTCATCTGTCCGTCTGTCTGTTCATCCGTCCGTCCGTCCATCCATCCATTCACTGATTCAACAAATATGTTCTGAGCTCTTACTATGCTTTAGGAACTGTGTTATTAATATATACCTGCAGTATATATTAATACCTAGGTGCAAATGACTCCAGTGAAAATAACAGTTCTTTTTTATTTCTAGTAATTACTGGCTCAACTTTCCCTGTGTGGCTAGAAGGAGAAATACTTAAACAGCTGAAGACAGATGACGACATGCCAACATACCTTTTGTAGCCAGGCGAACGCAGTTGATTTTGGTCTCCTGTGAACAACAAAAGTGAGGTTCCAGTTAATTAGTTGCAGGTTTGGTTTGTTATATAAAGAAAAAAATATACGTATGTATTTTTAATTATAATTTTAAATCTGTCCTTTCCATTCCTTCCCCCATTGGAATCACCTTTTAATTCTATTTCTTCTTTTCTTTTCAGGCTAGGTACATACTTGGTTCCTTTCACTTCCTGGCTCCCATGACCTCATAAACTTCTTCCCCAGACAGAACCCCTTATAAACATATCAGATACTGCTACTGCGTAGCACAGGACAACTTTAACAATGACACTAAGTGAGTACACTGTGGCATGAGTTAGTAGATGGCACCAGGACCATCTTTGGGAAACTATAAATAAATAATGCATCTATCGGCACAGGCTGAAACAGACCCTTGGCAATAGCTCAGTCAATAGGAACGTGTAAGAATCAAACTACAAAGTTCATGTTCAAAAAGTCACTTTGGTCCCCAGATTTTTGGTGAACCTCACGGTTTTCATGGATAATGTTGTGTGTGTGTGCTCGTGTGGCAATCAAATCTTTGCTGGGTAAACTAATTATTGTTGGCTGTTCCCCAAGTGGACAAAATCCATAAACCTGTGATGTTACTGGGCATGCAGTTGAGTTACAGAAGACTGTGTTTAGAAGGAGAATCATTTTAGCCTGCTTCATTCGGATCATCTCCCAGGAGGCCCTAGAACCAGTTAAAAATTCCAGTTTACTAAGCTATACCTCCAGCAACAGTCTGAATGTAGTGTAGCAATGAAAATAAAAGGCAAAGAATGCAAGTGTGTGAGTCTCAAGAATCAAACACGTGTCCTGCTACTGCTCAGTCATAAGAAATCACGGCTTCTTGAAGGCACTTGTGTTAGTCAGGTCTTTGAGGGTTCCTGGACCCAATTCTGTTGTGTGTGTGTGGGGGGGAAGGTGGGGGTGGTTCCTCCCTTTCTACAACACCAAGCAATCTTCAGATCCTGGCAGGGTATCTGAGAAATCAACTCAGTTCTGACACAGTCTACCGGGAGATGGCATCAGATTCCACAGGGTAAGGGTTCAGTTCTACAAGACTGTCCCCTACCCCCTGCTTCAGATGCCAGGTGCAAACCTCAGGCTGTTACCTGTGCTTCTGACCTACCAGCTATAGATTGAAGGTTCCAATGACCTCCTCCTTAGGTTTGATTAATTTGTTAGAGCAGCTCACAGAACTCAAAGAAACATGTTAGTAGATGACCAGTTTATTGTAAAAGGATGTAACTAAGGAGCAGTCAGATAGAAGACATGTATAGGGTGAGGTATGTGGGGAAGGGCGCAGAACCTCCATGCCTTTTCAAGAAGTGCTACTCTCCCAATCTTCATGTGATCACCTACCCAGAAGCTCTCTAAACCCAGTCCTTCTGGATTTTTATGGGGTCTTCACTGCATAGTCATTATTGACTTAGTCATTGGTTACTGGCTGATTCGACCTCTAGCCCCTCACCTCTCCCCAGAGGTCCAGTAGGCTGGGGGTAGGGTGGGACTGTGGGACTATGGGACTGAATGTTCTAACCCTCTAATCTGAAGTTGATCCTCCTGGCAACCAGCTCCCTCCTTGGGTGGGGTCCAAAAGTCACCCTCATTAACATAACAAAAGACACCTTGATCACCATTGACACTTAGGAAATTCCAAGGACTGAGGAAACTGTGAGCTAGAAACCAGGGACAAAGACCAAATACACATGAGAAATATTTTTTGTCATTCAGAAATCACAATCTAAGAAATCACAATATTGCATCAGGGTTATGCAGAGGTATAAAACCCATGAACTTCAGTGGCTAAAAACACTAAAGATGTATTTCCCACTTAAACCAACATGTCCAATGTAGGTGCATGACTAGGTCTGAAGTGGGGTTGTGGTGGTGGTTGGGGGATACTGCAATCACTGTAGGTTCTCAGAGACCAAGGCTGGTACAACTATTTTTTAATTTTTAAATTAAGACAAATTTTATTTAAATTTAATTTAGTTAACATATAGTATATTATTAGTTTCAGGGATAGAATTTAGTGATTCATCAGTTGCATAAACACCCAGTACTCATTATACCAAGTGCCCTCCTTAATGCCCATCACCCATTTACCCCATTTCCCCACCCACTTCCCCTCCAGCACCCTCAGTTTGTTTCCTATAGTTAAGAGTCTCTTATGGTTCTTATCTTATTTTATTTCTCTTTCCCTTCCCCTCTGTTCATCTGTTGTGTTTCTTAAATTCCACAAGAGTGAAATCATGTGGTATTTGTCTTTCTCTGACTGACTTATTTCACTGAGCATAATACCCTATAGTTCTATCCACATCATTGCAAATGGCAAGACTTCATTATTTTTGAAGGCTGAGTACTATTCCATTGTGTGTGTGTGTGTGTGTGTACGTACACATACATATATATATACACCACATCTTCTTAATCCATTCATCTGTTGAATGAATGTTGGCTATTGTGGACACTGCTGCTATAAACACTGGGGTGCAGGTGCCCCTTCAAATCACTATTTTTGTATCTTTGGGGTAAATACCCAGTAGTGCAATTGCTGGATCTTATGGTAGCTCTATTTTCAACTTTTTGAGGAACCTCCATACTGTTTTCCAGAGTGGTTGCACCAGCTTGCATTCCCACCAACAGTGTAGGAGGGTTCCCCTTTCTCCACATCCACACCAACATCTGTTATTTCCTGAGCTGTTAATTTTAGCCATTCGGACTGGTGTGGGGTGATATCTCATTATGGTTTTGATTTGTATTTCCCTGATGCTGAGTGATGTTGAGCATTTTTTCATGTGTCTGTTAGCCATTTGTATGTCTTCTTTGGAGAAATGTCTGCTCATGTCTACCTCCATTTTAACACAAGGCTGCACTGTTCACTGAGGCAGGAGAAAAGAATGCTGGAGTTGGAAACTCAGAATCAAATGCTTTGTATCAGAAGCTACAGTTACTTGACTCAAGTTTCATTGACTAAAACCAGTCATATGGCCACGCCTAACTTAAGTGAGGTGGGGAAATGGAGACCTCCATGCACCCAGAAGTAGAGAAGAAATAGTAATATCTATAGCAGAGTCTATTTTCTCTAGGCACACCTCTGAATGCTAGAAACTGTCTCTTGAAGTATGACTCCCCAGTGGTCTTGATTCTGTTCCTCACACCACAGAAAGTCTTCCCTTGCTTGTGTACAAAAGATGTCTGGATATTGAAAGATGGTTCTCATTTCTATTAATGTTCTTCAACCATTCCTCAGATGATAAGAGTAGAGTTCAAGTCCTTTGAACCAATATTGCTACTCATCCTGGGACATCTTGCAGTTTTGTCCCTCTTATTGAGAAGGAACTAGAATAGGAAGCAGCAGTCTACATGTGGTCTTGCCAATATATGATTACCTAGATTATCACTATTTTCTATTTTCCTTAGTTATACTGGGCTTCTATTAACATAGCCAACATCTCAGTTTTTCATTGATCACAATGAATGTGCCATCAACCTGTCCCCCACCAAAAAAAAAAAAAAAAATCTGCCTGCTTCTACATACATAAATGTGGTTGTATTTCTGGAATCCAAGTACAGAGTCATATACTGATTTCCCTTATTGACTTCCATCTTCTTTGATCTGGTTGCTACAGCCTGTCATCATATTTTCCACCATACATAAGTTTTTGGACATATTTTTCTATAATTTTATCCAGATCATTAATATAGGTGGTAACCTGGAGAATGCCATTGATAAAGATTTGTGACATGTACTAGAATCCGCCTTCCAGGTTGGCATTCATTGCTCATCAGAATTTTTGGATGGTTATCTAACTACTTATTTCCTCAACTGCTTATGCACTTGGATCCTCCTGCTGTGTTTTCCCACCAAAATAGCTTGAGGATAGGGTCAAACTCACTTCAGATACTCAGACTCTGTCTACTTCATTTCCCCACTCTATCAGTCTAAGAACTCTCTCAAAGAAAGAAGGTCGGGTTGACATGACTTGTTCTTTAGGCCAAGTGTTTCCCTTCCTTTCTTTTTTTTAATGCTGAAAGTGCTCTTTTTTAAAATAAACAATTATTTTATTAAACAACTGGAAAATGCAGAAATGTTAAAAGAATATCACACACTATGATTCAAATATATGAAGTATTCATTTGAGGTGTTCATGATATTTCAAGTATGCTTTTCAAGAAAAAGTTTTTTTAAAAGAGTATATCCAGAAGAAAGAAGGAAAAATTATGAATAAAAAATAGAAAAATAAAGTGGAACTTTCTAAATGTGATGCCAAAAAGCTTCAGTCACAAATGAGGTAAAACTTGAAAATGATGATAAAAGTGAGCCAATGAATTTTTTTATTTTCATGTTTGGAGAAAGAGCAGATGTCCAACTCCTGTTGGCTTCCATTTCTGTTCTCTGGCTTAAAGGGTCAGTGAGCTGAAGCCTGAGATGGTTACAGAGAGTATGAGCTCCTGAGGACTGAAGGCTGCATCTGCACATGGCTGTGCAGCACCATAACAACCATCACCGAGAAACTGTGGTGAGTGGAGCTATGCCCACTAGGAATGGTCAGAAGGATTGCCAACTTTATATTAATACAATGAAAAAGGATTTTGCAATAACTGTATTAGGAAACTTGCCAATTACATGCACGATTATTACATACAGGAATGGGCAAGAGTTTGATGAGGATTTCACTGCTGGGGGTAATTTGTAAATATGTATCCAGACTTCAAAGAGAGTTGATCTAATCTTTTCACATCTAAGATTCTATTCTCAGGATGCCTCGGTGGCTTAGTTGGTTAAGCAACTGACTTTTGGTTTTGGCTCAGGTGATGATCTTATGTGTTGTGGGATCAAGCCCCACATCAGGCTCCGTACTCAGTGGGGAGTCTGCTTGGGATTCTCTCTCTCTCTCTCTCCCACTGCCCCTCCCCTGCTTGCATGCATATGCATACACGTTCTCTCTCTCTAATAAATAAATAAATAAATCTTTTTTAAAA